CTTCACATCCTTCGCACTGTTTCTGAATCGATTTCCCAAGGATATAGTCCAGCTGATGCCGCCTCCAATCCCCAGGTGCCTTCCGTGTGTAAAGTCATCTCTTCGGCTTCTTGAACCAAGTGTTGGTAACAATCAGTCCATTTCTTTCACAAAAGTCAATAAGCATTTGACCCCTGTGATTCCGTCTTCCTAGTCCATGTGATCCAACAATATTCTGATATGATTCCTCTCCAACAATGCTATTCCAGTCTCCTAATATGATGTTGTTTGTGTCACCTCTTCCATCTTCCTGAAGAATTTCTTCAAATGTGTCATACTCTTTTTCCACTTCATCATCTTCATACTCTGATGTTGGCATGTACACTTGCATAATCAGTATATCTACCAGTTCCACCTTTAACTTCAGAGCAGTAATTCTGTCATTGCAAACAATCTTCTTAACAACACTCCTCACTACACTTTTATGCACCACTATTGCCACTGTAAGATGTGCACCACAAATTGAGCGGCAGAAAAATGTTTCACGGTACAACAACATACCAGCCACAGCAAGCATATACAAGCAGTACAAAGTCGAACAAAAAGAAATTTATGCAAATGTTACTGCAGCAGTGTTCATCTGAAGGCGGAAATATGTCATCAGATTTTTTCACAGATATGTGGATGTTCTGATGTCTGCAAATATTCCGTTTTGGGCTCAGAAAAATGAAAAACTGAAATTTTTTCTGGAAGTGAATTGAGGTCGTTCTATCCCTGATGAATCCACCCTTAGGAAAACTACCTTTCCAAGTGCTATAACAATATCCTTGAAATGATTAGGAATAAAATGCATGAGAAGAAGATTTTAGTTTCTATTGATGAGACCTGCAATACGGAGGCTCGCTACATGGCAAACATTGGAACCTTGGAAATTGATGGACCAGGTGAAGTGTTTCTGCTTACGAGTGAGATGCTAGAATCTGTTAATCATTCCACAATTTGTAAAATCTTTGACAGGGTGATGTTTCTACTGTGGCCAGAGGGTATATAACACAACATCTTGCTTTTTGTGACCGATACGGCCCCATATATTTTAAAAGCTTGCAACGTCAATAAAGTCGTTTTAATGTTATATTTTAGCATCCTGTTGCACTGACTCATGTCCATGATTTATGCTAACCGTCTTACAGTGCACACACTTTTTTTTTTCACCTTACTCTTCTCTTTTGCACTACATGTTTCAACACTAATGTGCCATTTTCAGGTGCGTTTTCTCTATGCACGTCTAACTACTGCATTGCATGCCCTGATTATTAATAGTAGTCATAATAGAAGCGTATACCAATACATGAATTGTAAACATAAACTACTACATTGCAATGCCAACGTAAATTTTAATAAGTCAGGACATGCATTGCAGTAGTTAGACATGCACAGAGAAAACGCACCTGCAGATGGCACATTAGTGCTGAAATATATAGTGCAAAAGAGAAGAGTAAGGTGAAAAAAAAGTGTGTGCACTGTAAGACGGTTAGCATAAATCAATGACAGAAGTCGTTTTACATGAAATTGGTGCACATTACTTGGCTAGCACATGCACTGCATAAAGTGACGGAGGAAGTGAGATCAAGATTTCCTCAAGTGTATGGTCTCGTATCATGGAAGAAGAAGATTATCGTCAGGGCTCCAGCTCGTGAAATGCAGTCTATGGCTCATTGTGTTCCACTGCCCCTGGAACCCGTCATCACAAAGTGGAGAACGTGGATTGATGCTACAATTTACTATTGTGATCATTTTCAGGTAGTGAAAAACATTGTAGATTCAATGAAGACAGAGGATGCGAGGGCAATTGAAGCTGCTCAGGAAAAGTTCTCGCGCAGCGAAATGGAAGGACAACTGGCCTTCATAAAGGCAAATTTCAGTTCCTTGACGGAAGGAATCAGATGCTTACAGGAGAAAGGAGCAACGCTAGAAGATTCGCTCGTCCTGATGAAAAAGAATGGCCAATGATTTGGAGAAAGTGTCAGGGGACATTGATAAAATGGTGTCAAGAAAATTAAACATGTTCTAGATAAAACTCAGATTATGAAACATTATGTAGCATGTAGTTACTATAGGATTCTGACGATGGTGTATAACACACTGATATATTGGGTTTTTGGACTTTATCCATCGTCCTGGTGATCGTCCTCCAGTGATTGAGGCTAGCTCTTTCTAACAGACCCAACAGAATAGGTGTTTTCCTTCACTTGAGGACGGAAACAGATCCAGTTTCCAAAACGTCGTGTTTTTATTAGTTATCTTAAAAACCAGGACGATGGATAAAGTCCAAAAACCCAATATATCAGTGTATTATGTAGCATTTCTCGAATTCTGACTGGAGAGTCCTTCGGCACTTTCAGTATTGAAGAGGACTTTACCGCTAGTGATTTGGTACACTTCAAGTACGCTCCCATTGTGGCTGCAGATGTGGAAAGGAGTTTCTCCATCNTTTTGCACTTCTAAATAACACTTAGTTTTATGATAATGAAATTATTATTATTATTGTTATTATTATCATTTATTAGCTTGTTTGTTTACTTTTCTTCATAAATTGCCTGTAACTTATTTTTGACTTATAATGTGTTTGACTAATGTTTGTATAATTTACACATAATTACTTTCATCTACACTGTGCTAAGTCTGTAATTGGCCTTGCGGCTGTTGACTTGGCACATAAATAATAAAGAATTGAATTGAATTGAATTATTGCCCTGCAATGCCATCTGTTGGCGAGTTGTGGCATTAAGATTCTTGAAGATTCAGCTGTGGCTGTCTATAATTTCAAAGCGCAAGCATCGCTGCATCATGTGTTCTGACCTTGAATGTAACAGCACTGTTCTGATGCTCGTCGGAAAATGGCGGTTGAACAGAGAGCCAACATCAGATTTTGTTTGAAGTTAGGAAAAATAGCCGGAAAAGCGTACAAAATGATGAAAGGTGTGTACGGTAGTGATTGTTTGAGTCACATCGAACGTTTTTCGATGATATGCTGTATTTCGTGATGGCAGGGAGGACATTGAAGACGCTCCATGTGAATCAAAGCCGAGAACAGGTCGCACTGAAGAAACTGTGAAGAAAATGACCAAAGTCCTTGCATCAGACATGTGTTTCTGCAAGTCTCATCGAGGAGCTTTTGGGAATACCAAAAAGTTCTCTGCATCAAATTTTGACAGAGGATTTTGTCAAACGGAAGATCTGTGCGCGGTTTGTACTGCACGCGCTGTCAGGCGATGAAAAACATGCCAGAATGGAACACTGCAAAGACATGTTACGGTCGGCCCAGAGTGATACAAAATTTACAAATTCGGTTGTTACTGGTGTTTCCACTATGAGCCTCTCACAAAGCGGCAGAGTGCAGCATGGTTGAGTCCAAAGAAGCCAAAACCAAAGAAAGTGCGCATGCAAAAGAGTCAAGTAGACACTGCTAACCATTTTCTTCGATTCGAAAGGAATCATTCACAAGGAATTTCTGCCAGAAGGTCAAACAGTGAATTCTGATTATTATCTTGGAGTCCTCAATCATTTGTGGGTGAGAATTCTTCGAGTTCGACCTGAATACCGAGAGCAAGGTTCATGGTCGCTCTTCCACGACAATGCCCCACCCCACACGTCAAAGATCGTGCCCGATTTTTTGGCCAGAAAAGGGATTAGCCCTTGATCATCCTCCATATTTGCCAGATTTGGCTCCAGAAGATTTTTGTTTGTTCTCAAAAGTTAAGTTGGCGATGCAAGGAGACCGTCACGACACCGTCCAAGACATCCAAAGGGAATGTACCACAGTTTTAAATGCGATTCTACAAAAGGAGTACAATGACTGTTTTGAATAAAAAGAGTGAAATTTTGAAAATAATTCACGTCTTATGTTTTTAATGAACACAGTCCTAACAGAACCTGAACTCACTGTGTATGTACATTTGATGTGTTCCAGTGCAGTAGAAAAAAATCCTTATTAAAACATTTAGCTTCATACTCAATCATATATTGCTTAATTTTGAACATAAATACGAGGACAACATAAAAGAGTAACATGGAGTTCACAATGTTAATAAAGATTAAAAATACATTTTAAAACAGTTAGTAGATTTTCCATTACATGATACGTTTTTAGGTAGTTTTTTAACTTTTAAATAATATTTCTGTATTTTTGGTCATTTTTATGTATTTTCAGGTCATTTTAAAAATATCTTTAGGTCGTCAAAATGCAGGCCCTGCTCATAATTGTTTCACCTCATCAAGAAGATTGACACATCAGTAACTGTCTTGCTGCAGTGATAGCCATGTGATGTTACATCTTCTGTGTATCAAGAAAGAACCACTACCATATCTATGTGCTTGAATTGTAAAGTCTTCCTCAGTACAAACCTGCATTTTCTTACCATATAGATGTAAACATCTAAGTAGAGTTCTGTCAAATTGGGAAGGAACACATTTCCAAAGATGCATATGCCAGATATATGGATTTATATATAAAATACTGGGATTTATTTCAGGAATCTATAAAAATTATTGGAAACGGTGGTTTTTATGATAGTACAAAAGTATCAATATCAGGTTTGGCAATTCATTCTCTTTAGGATATTTTTTATTACAGTGTTTTAGCAGTTATAGTTCCAAAGGTATGTGCTTTTCTTCAAAACAGACCCTTCCCGTATTTCACCCCTGAGTTAAAATCAAGCCCTCAGCCCTGGCATTTAAATCTCTAGTCCCAGACAGTAAAGGTTATGGTAATGTGAACTGTAATAGTTCAGCTGGTAAAATGACTGCCTTTGGTCCAAATGGCTTGGGTTTAAATTTATGGTAGGGACAGGGATGTTTCTACTGTCCAATCTCAGTCTGAGTTCCATGCAACCTCTTATGTGGTGGGTACTGAGAGCACCTTCATGTGATAAAGTGAATGAAACATGAAGGTGACTATTCAACTTCATATAAGACCAAGATCTAAAATATCTGTCTTGAGTCCATGGTGTGTAATGTTGCAGCATGAGCTGGGCATGATCCTTTACCCAGTGTTTGTGCACATGTATCTGGAACTGGTTTATAATGGCCATGAAGGGCAGGCCATTCAGCTCATGGAGCGGTTTGGCCGTGACCAGGAAGAGTACTACCAGGCTGATCTCAAGCGACTGTCACATGTCACCAAGAAGGACCACATGAAGGGCAATGAACTCACTGATACATTCAAGTAAGTAACTTCATACTGACACCATCACTGTTTCCAAAGTGCATTTTCAACGTTGCCATCTGACAGATTGGTGAACTTATTAATCAGCCAATGGCAGCAGTGCAACACTTACGTAAGTAGGAACAAAATCAAACTCAGCAGTAATTTAATGGAAGAGTAGGAAAGGGGTTCCTAGGACTAGATGCCAGTGGTTGTTAGGTCACAAAGTTTTAGTTTGTTCTAACCTGATTGACAAATTCTACCTGTTTGAGGTTGAAGATCCTATTGAAAAATTGAAAACGTATACATCATCAGGTATTTCTGGCTGAACTGACTCAGACAGGAGGTGAAATATTACATTCTGAGATCTGTAACTCATTAAGTGTATTTGGAATAGGGAAGAATTGCCACATCATTGGAAGGAGTCTATTGTTGTACCTGTTTGCAAGCATGATGATAAAACTGACTGTAGTAATTATCAAGGTGTATCATTGTTAATAACTTCATACAAAGTTTTATTCTCTTGTGGTAAACTAAATATGTAGATGAAATTATAAGGAATCATAGATCTGGATTTTGATATAATACTTCAACTACTGATCAGATAATTTGTTTTTATTAGATACTAAAGTGGATGTGTGAGTACAGTGACACATGCATAAACTGTTTATTGACTTATCTGTAGCAGGAACTCTGACCACTAGACAACAGAGGCGGTTTAGGTTCTAGCCTATGCTGATAGTAATTTATTGGGGATAACATGAACAGAATAAAGAAAGCATTCTAACAGACACTAGTAAAGAGGTTGTCTAGAAGTAAGCATGGACAAAACCGAAGTATATAATAAATGTCTTATCACTAGAATGTAGGACAGTATCATAACATAAAAGTACATAATATATATTTTGAAAATGTGGCAAATTTCAAATATTTTGGAATCACACTAACAAATTGAAATTGCATTCCTGATGAAATTAAGATCAGATTAAATTTGAGGAGTAGTTGCTGCGATTCAATTCAGAATCTTTTATGTTCTCACTATCAAAAAACGTCAAATACAAAACTAATTTTCCAGGTGATTTTGTGTAAGTGTGAAACATGTTCTCTCATATTAGGGGAGGAACAGAGACTGAGGGTAAAATCTGAAAGCTCATGATGGTTGTATATTAATTAATACAGTGATAAATTTTCTGAATGTCATCCATTGTCTGATCTATTTTTATTTGAAATGACATTTTGAATACTGGACTCTGTTGTCTCAGTCTTCATGTAAAAAGCCTACACTGTTGGGCCCATTGGATAAAGCTAGTCCATATCTTCAGTCATTAGAAGTAACACAGAATGTGATATTGTCATGTGTAGATGACTAGACATGGGATATGGATTGGCAATTAGATTCATTAAGCACTTATGACTTGTAACTGTAAATAGTTATACTGGTGTTGCTAATTTACACACTTAACCCTTCCGCACCGACATCCGTGTGCTGCNGCATAAAAACTTATGAACTCTGTGATTCCAAATCTGGGTATTTATGGTCATTTATTGTTTACACTGGCAGCGAAACCCAACTAAATTCTTCACTGATCAGAGAAAATACCAATAAAACAACATCTGTTGTTCTACATTTGGTCGAACCGCTCCTCCATAGAGGTCATACTCTATGGATGGATAATTATTACAATTCCCCCCAGTTAGCAAAATTATTAAAAAATCATGGCACTGACTGTGTTGGGACCCTTAGGTTGAACAGAAAGGGTGTCCCAACAACTGTAAAAAACACAAAGTTGAGAAAGGGCGAGATCATAGCTCAGCACGCAGGTCCTATAACTGTTCTCAAGTGGCAAGACAAAAAACCAGTTTCCGTGATCTCTACATTTCACAATGCCGACACACAGACAGATATAAAGAGAAACAAAGAAATAAAAAAACCAAAAATTATAATTGATTATAATGAAATGATGGGTGGCGTTGATTTGAAAGATCAGCTTTTACAGTACTACAACGTGGAAAGAAAAAGACTTCATAAGTGGTACATGAAACTCTTCAGACGCCTTTTGAATGCGACAGTGGTAAATGCCATGATAATTTATAACAAGAATCAGGAAAGACTGACAGACCACTTAGCATTCAGAGTAAATCTGGTAGAAGGGTTGCTGTTGAAGTTTACGGACCAGGAGCAGGCAGCACGTAGAGTACAAGGTCGACGTCATTCATCAGATAACACCATCCCCCGGCTTCGTAAAAGACATTTTATTAATAAAATTCCCCCAATCAGGAAAAAAGGCTAGACCACAAAGGCGATGTGTAGTGTGTACAAAAAACAATAGAAGAAAAGAAACCGTGTACGGGTGCAGTGATTGTGATGTTGGGCTATGTATTGACCAGTGTTTTCAGGATTACCACACCAAACTCAACTTTTAGCAGTTCGAGTGAGTAAAAAAATATTATTTATCATAATTATATTAAACAATATATATATAGGTTTGTTCTTCGTTTCATTATGAATATTTCTGTGAAAATTTTATCTCAATATACCTATCTTTGCGAGAGTTACTAAATTTTTTATGGATAAGTGCATTTTTCTGTTTAATAATTAAATACCCCGTCGGTTTGGCGGTAGGAAAATATTTAAATACTATCCGTCGCGGAAGGGTTAACAAATCACTTCTGCACACACTAAGTCTCAGTCTCTTATAGTCTTCACAGGTTGTGCTAGGTAACAGGCTTCACTAGGCATCGCTAGGTCACAGCAGCTTCTGTGCTCATGCCCTTGCTGAGTAGTTGACTTGCAACTCAGTAACTCTCATGACATAGCCACGACTGTTTCAACTTAGTCAGAGTCAGAGTTATTTTATGACTGGTCCTTTACCACCAGTCATTTCATTTTGATGCTGAACCTCTTGTGGCACATGAACCCTAGTCCCCCCCACAACTGAACACTTACAGTCATTCAGGGAAAGGATGGAAATATCATGAGTATTACAGACAAAGTCCAATGACTCCATAGTAAGTCGAAGTTGTAGACTCAACACAACGTCAGTAAGTCACTTGAAATGTTCCCAGTTATGTGCTCACTTGCAGCAGTCAGTAAACATATATTGTGACATGTTGCACAACGGAGAACCCCTCCCTACGCAGCAGCAACGTGGCAACTCAGGCCACAGTGACGTGGCGGATGAGTCAGCGCTCCCCTCCCCCCTCTGCACGGTAACGTAACGCGCAACGCGCAGTGACATAAGACGGCGTGAGGTAACAGCATGGCCACGTAACAGGTCCACACAGCCCTTATATAAGAGAGCTGCGCTGCCTGCGAAGAGAGTTAGTTGTAATGCACAGTCGCCGAGTTAAGTAGTAGTCGAGCGAGTGTGTGATCAACAGTTCTCAAGGCAGCTACCTACGAGTTAGTTCCGAGTTAGCCAGCAACCAGTCAGTTGCATTCTGGCATTTGGAGTGTAGTATTTGTGATACTGCAGATAGCAGTAATTGTGAATCTGTAATTTGGGTGATTGTAAGTGCGAATGTGAAATAAAATTCGCTATATCAAATACGGCGTGAAGTTATTTGTCGCGTTATACGCCCACTTCGTGACAATATATACACGAGGGTTGTACTGAAAGTCATGAGCAACAATTTTTTGTATAGTAACATGCTTTATTATTGACAAACAAAATACACCACGTCAATCTACAGAACTTTCTTTATTTTTTCACATAATTGCCACTTCTTTGTACACATTTCTCCCAGCGTTCTGGGAGTTTGAAAATTCCCCTTCTGTAAAATTCCATTCCAGCCATCTGAAGACAGTGATGCACTCCTTTCTGAATTGCCTCCCTTGTCTCAAAATGTTGTCCACGCAGCTGATCCTTCACAATCCCGAAAAGATGGTAGTCGGAAGGTGCCAGATCAGGGCTATAGGAGGGGTGTGGTAGAACTTCCCACCCCATCTTTGCACTTCCTTCCAATGTGAGGCAAGCGGCGTGGGGGTGAGCATTGTCATGCAGGATGATGATGTTTCATCTCGGATGTTTATCACGCAATGCATGACAGAGCTTGTGCAGCGCCTGGACATAATGAGTAACGTTGATGGTTTGCCCAGGTTCCAGGAATTCGGCCAGAATAAACCCCTCTGCATCCCAGAAGACTGTGCCCATCACCTTTGCAGCTGATGGCATTGTCTTTGCCTTCTTTTTTGATGGAGAATGCAAATGGTGCCATTCCCTACTCTGCCATTTCGTTTCAGGCTCAAAATGGTGAAACCAGCTTTCGTCACCTGTCACAATAGAGAGCAAAAAATCATCGCCTTCATGTCAATATCTCTGCAGCAGTTCTGAGGTGATGGCTTTTCACTGACCTTTGTGGTCTTCGATCAGTAACTGCGGGACCCAACGAGCACATGCTTTCCTATAGCCCAAGCTTTCAATCATCTCCTGTACTGCACTGTGCCCTATTCTAAGTTTTCGGGCTATTGTGTCCACAGTCACACGCCTGTCATCTTGAATGATCTCATCCACTCGTTTCTTGTTGCATTCAGTTGAGGCTGTTCTAGGACAACCGCTCCGAGGCTCATCTTCGATGCTGGTGTTCCCATCTTGAAAATGTTTCACCCATCTTCGAACACTGCTCGCACCCATGCACACACTTCCATAAACACGCTGAAGTCTCTGGTGAATTTCTGCAGCATGGATTTCCTCTTTTACAAGAAATTCAATTACAGCACGCTGGCAAAACGACATCGTCGGCCATTTTGTTACGAGTGATACTGGTCACATGATGCAAGATATTGACATCACAAGACACTCAAGGTTAACACAACAGCTGGTTCCACCTACCACCATACTCTCCTTCGTCTACTGTTCCCAGGTTGCATGCAAAAAAATGTTGCTCATGACTTTCGGTACGATCTACGTAAATGCACACACACAGGTGCCCCAGGTGTTTGCTGCCATACTTCAGGAGCGTACAGAGGGTTCCCTGTAGAACAACTTTGAAATAGGAATCCATTTCCATAGATGTAAAATAGCAGCGCTAGGGTGGCATTTAATATCATTTTGTTTAAACTTGGCACCTCAATGTTGAAGAGCATGCACAGGCATATTACTGCCTCCAAACTCTTAAGACTCACCTGCTAGAGTAGATGTTGGAATTTGCACCCTCCATTTTCAATGCATGCATTACATCGACAATAGAAACTTTGGCACACCCTTTCAAATATTCCAGGTGTCTCACAGATCACGTCACATGCAACAAGTATTCTGGCCAACAGCTCGAATTCATTATCTACAGGCGTGTCGTAGATCAGGCTTTTCACATGGCCCCAAAAGATATAATCCAGATGTGTCAAGTCTGGGGATCAGGGTGGCCAAGGCACTGGGCCTTCTTTTCCTATCCAACGACCATGAAAAGCAGCATCCAGGTAGTCTCATGATACCATGCTGAAGTGTGCCGGCGCTCCATCATGCTTTATCCACATTTGCCTCCGTACAATCAGTGTAAGGTCATCTAGAAAAGTCGGAAGGATACATTCCAGGAACTCCTTGTAAAAGGTCCCATTGAGTCGTCGTGGTAGGAGGAAAGGCCCAATCAAGTGATCGCCGGTGATGCCCACCCAGACATTGACAGAAAATTGCACCTGATGATAACCAACTACAGTAACATTGGGGTTTTCGTCAGCCCAAACGTGGCTGTTTCGACAGCTGAACCAGCCATCCCTTGTAAACTACGCTTCATCTGTGAATAACACATGATTCAGGAAGTTGGGCTGATGTAAACACTGGTTCAGTATCCACTGACAAAATTGAACTCGTGGTACGAAGTCAGCTGGACCTACATCATGTACTCACGTTGGATGATATGGATAAAGTTGTTGGTCATGCAAGATCCTCCAAACACTTGATTTTGATGTCCCCACAATCTTGGCAATGGCACGAGTGCTGGTGGATGGCTGTTCCTCTATGCAATGCAGTACTGCGTCTTCTACATCAACGGTTTGAGCATATCTTGAGCATCCCGCATGATTTTGTGGATGCAGAGACCCAATTTCATCTAGTTGCTGGTGAATGCTCCAAGCATTTTGCGAGAGGGAAGTCTTCTGTTGGGAAATCTTTCCCTGTACAGTCTCTCTGCTTTTCGTGCATTTCCTTCAACCACACCATAGAGATAATGCATGTCTCTGAGCTCTGCAAAAGTGTAGTCTTCCACCATTGCAGAAGTGAGTGAATGTAAACAAAGAACAGTCTAACAGACACACGTTCCTTTCATTTACCAAAACAACACTAGTTAGCTTGGGGAAACCATCAGCTCCAGTGAGCACAGTTTGGAGGGGGTAATATGCCTGTGCATGCTGTTCGTCATTGAGGCACCAAGTTTAAACGAAATGATTTTAAATGCTGCCCTAGCACTGCTATTTTATGTTTGCGGACATGGGTTCCTATTTCAAAGTTATTCTATAGGGAACCCTCAGTACGCTTCTGAAGTATGGCACCAAACTCCTGGGACACTCTGTATATACGTAGCTGATTCCAAAAGTAAGGTCTCCAAAGCGCTGGGTAATTTTTCGTGCGGCTGTTGGCAACCCTGTTGCATTCATTGCTTCCCCCACTCCCCCCAATACCACCAAGCATGCGTGCACGTAGCTAGGACGCTCAGTCTTGGCACAGTTGCCGTTAGAAATGGAGCTCCCGATTACTAAAACCGCGAAGTGTGAGATTCGCTCAGTTATTCGGTTTTTGAACGCAAAAGGGACTAAACCAATTGAAATTCATCGTCAATTGGTGGAAGTGTTTGGCGAGTCGTGCATGGACATAAAGAACGTCCGCAAGTGGTGTAGGGAGTTTGAATCTGGTCGTACTGCAATACACGATGAAAAAAGAACTGGTAGACCGTCAATTTCTGACGAGACAGTCGCGAAGATTGAGCAAGTCATGCGTCAGGATAGGCGCATCACACTCGATGATCTCTGCATTTCGGTTCCCGAGGTTTCCCGAACCACCATTTATCGGGTTTTGACAGAGAAGTTGAATTATCGGAAGGTGTGCGCAAGATGGGTCCCGCGAATGCTCACGGAAGACCACAAACGGCAGAGAGTT